TATGCATATGAGCAGTCCCACTGAAGTCAACAGAATTACTCATGTGAATATAGTTAAGTACAAACATAAATCTTTCCAAGACTGCAGATTTTGGTACTTTTAACTGTCAAACTTTAATGGTGCATAAACATCCATTAAATGCCTACTTGTACTATTTGATTACCCAACTCACATGGTTTTATTTTTATTTTAATATTTTAATGATTATTATATATAATGTGATGTTAGGGTTCCCAGAGCTTTTACTTAATTAGGCTTTACCTAATTACAAATCTAAATAAATACAAAAAGTTGTGAATTTACATGGTGCTGTGACAGTACTAAGTTAACTGAAGGTACCTCAGTTTGTATTAATGGTTGCTTGATTAACTTTTAGGTTAATTAGATGAGATTAAAAGATAATTGGTTCTATCCCAGATGAAATGGCACTAAGTGCTCCATCTATAGTATAAAATGAACCAGGTTAGTGTACAGCTTCCTGACACATTCTAACTTTTTTTCCTATCACCGTGAACAGAAAACATTGTTATAAAACAGTGTCTTCGAAAGGTGCTGTAGCCTAGGTCTACAGGTACAGTTATACAGCAATATAGGAGCAGGAAGCAGTCCATTTATGTTTAATTTTAGATCTTTTACATCCAACTCTGCAACTGCCATCTCTAATTTATATTTTTATGCCTTAAAAAATCATTTTTGTGCCAGAAGAGGACAAACACATTAGCATGCAAACCTCGCCCATAGATAATCTGAGGAAGAAAAAGCTCTTCACCTATCAGTTTGTAAGAGCAGTTCGTTTTATGCCTGGGAATAGCTAATACGTTTAATAAATTGAAGGAGTATGTTGTCATTCAATTGTTGCTTATATACGTTAATATTTAGATCTAGATGACTCTACCACTTCAGTTTGAAGTCCAATCCCATCTCTTCACTTCTCTCTGTAATATACCTCCTTAAATTCTTCTGACATGTTCTCTCTTAATTTAAACCTGTCCCCTAACTCTGGTTTGTCCAACTAAGTCAAATAGGTCATACTTAATTTTATAAAAACCATTAGCTACTTTACATACTTCTACCATATAACCTCAATCACATTTGCATCCAAGTACAACTAATTTTGCCTTTCTCCCCAGAAGAAATCCATCCATTTCTTTTATCATTTTAGTTTCACTATGCTCTCTTCTCCAATATAACCATTCAAAAAATCACATACGAATTTTTCACGAGAGTTACGCTAGCAGATGCTCAACAGTGCTCTGTACTCCTCATGCTCTTCCTGAACATGAGAGTTTAATTTCTGAAACTCAGTGAAAAGCCAATAAATGCAGAGATACGGCTCCCCCACTTCTCCCTTACAGCAGCATCACAGTTAAAACAAATCACAATGATAAAAAAACAAGAAATGTAGACATGAAATGACATTTCACACGCAGCACAACTATAACTCTGCTCCCAAAAAGATACCAATAGGAACTGGGAACACCACAGTCCATTGCCCCTTCCTAACCAAACCTGCCATTTTCAATGTGTCCATCACTCCAAATCAGGACCGTTCTTCATACACTCCAATGGGACCCTCAGTATGGTTGGGTAACATCACTGATCTGAGGAATAATTGCTGCTGACTGTAATGTTAAAGTAGCACTTTTTCCACAGGGACAACAAAGGCACATCGCTAACACCATGGTGAACGACAGTGAAACCAATTCTTTATTTCACATGGTCAAACAATGTATTTTTCCCTAATCTCATTCTTGGAAATGGCGGAAGCATTTAGGCTGAATCACATACACACACCCCCAGCATGGGACATAAGCAACTGAAAACAGGGAAGCATCAGGCAACTTTAAGTATAGATGGTGCTACCAGCTCCAACTATAATAATTTACCCCTAATAACACAAATCTTTTCATACACACCAACATCTTACTATTATTCTTTAATACAGTAGACTATGTGACTTCTTAAATGTACTGTACTCTATCAGCCTATTCTCTACGCAGGGAAATGATGGCACATGTCATAATACTGTATCTATCTGGATAGCCCCTTCACCTTATTCTTTTTTTGATTTATCCAAATCTTTCTGTATCCTCTGTAGTGTCGGTCCATTTCTATTGTGTACCTTTGTCCTTTTTTATTATTATTATTATATGCTATTCATGGCCAAGACTATAGCTTCCTATATATTTGTAGAGCACCTAGCATATTTTATGTGCTCTTGTAGCACAAATAAGCAATAAATAATATTCGCTTGTTATTCCTGTAATTTATTTCTCCAACAAAATTCAGATCAAATGCAGCATATGTTTTTTAGTGAAATTTTCCCCCCAATGCCTGCAACTACACTTAGGCACACGCAACCAGATCCACAAAGCTATTTCCTAATGGAAGTTAGGCGTCTCAACAGCTTTGTGGATCTGAGCCAAGATGGCCAAGTGATTTACCAAGGTCATACTGTGAGCTGTGGGGATTAGAACTGGGACCCTGCTAGAATTCAGTGGTACTCGAACCATACTACAGGATTTCTCACTAACATTTGTTAATAAAAACAAAATAATGAAAACACAAGACCAAGAATGATTTTATAGAAGACCAAAACAAAACAGAAAACACTGTTACAGCAGGTGTTATGCATGAAGGTATTAATTGTTTTTGCAGCACCTAGTGCTTATTAATCCCAGCCAAAATAATCTCCTAACCAGTTGCAGAAAGGGAAAGAATCTAAAAGTGATTCCGGGATGGAGGGAGAAGAAAATTAGTGGTGCCGGCTCAGTCACTTAGCTTACTATGCATGGAGAAGTGCTAGAGCACTAGATTTCTCTCTAGGCAATTCCCAAAAGTCTAGCTAGCTACCAATATCCAACAGTTGTATTAGGATATCAAAAGTTTTGTGAAGGCTGTTGCTTATTCATCTGCAGTACATGCCTTTTGCTTTATTTAAGGTAGGTTGAAATCCATAGACAAAGCCCATAGCACATTTAACCATTATTTCCCTTTCTGCAGTTCTACTCCATCCCACCTCCTTACATTCTTATGTCTCTGACCTTCCCTTCCACTTTTCCATACTCTGGCAGTGGTTCTGAATGTAGAGATTATATTCCAGGGAGAGTCAAATTAGGCTTTTACACCTTCAGGCACTAAGATTAATATCAAGTGTCTGGATTTCAGACAATTTCAATACATATGCATATCAGGTATTTCAGTTGTGGCTCATTTCTGATACAAGACTTTTTACTGAGCATCTCATCTGTTCAATAAATCAATCCCCAAACTTTACCCTTAATTTATGATCTATTAGACAAAAAAGTTAAGACAGCACTCGGAAGTCTATTAGGGAAAAGACGCTAAAGGCCAGTCATTTCCTTATCCCAACATGAAATTTTTGGTGGCACCGTAGTCAGTCTTGCTTAGAACAAAATAAAACATACAAACAGAGAGCACTTTCTTGGCTGTACTACTGTGTCTGCTAGTCCATTTACAAAAAAATAGATTTTCTGTTTGCTGATGGGCAGAGTACAAGTAATGTATTAGAATCACATTTCATTGATTTTAAGTTTTCATCACATGAAAACTTATTTCCTGATATTGTTTTAAAAAAGAGTTTAGTAGCATATAGTTAATCACATTTGAAAAATACTTTGTTTAAATCTGTACTTTAGATAGTTACTGATCATCCAGATTATTTGGTTAAACAGACTATATTTTTCTACTTCACATCTGAATTCTACAAAAGTAAGAAAAAATGTTTCTGTCACTAATATCTGTTTACAGTGCTTCTTTTTAATAGGGAAAATGTTGAACGAGATGACAATGCTGTGAGGCATACAAATGTTTGTAGGAGATTATATAACATGTTTTTCTGAATGAGGCTGCAGCATATTACCATGTCAATGAAAAAGGAGAATAAAACTATAGCAACTGAGAAAACAGGACCTGCTCTTCCAGGATTTCATTCACTAGCCATAGATAAGACTCTTGGTCCCAATTTTTAAAAAATGGTATACTAATAGGTGGTCTAATCAAGATTTTTCACTAACACAGACAACCTGCAGCATCTTTTTTAGATGCAATCCATTTCCGTTTCTCTTAAGGAGCTGGCTTTCTGTGCTAAACACAACTAACAGCAAAATCAGATATAAAACTAGAATGGACAAAGCACTTGAAAACACATTGTAGTAAACCATGCGCTGGCAAGGAGATGGATTTAAGTGACTCAGTAGGTCTTAAACATCTCTAACTTTCACTTTTTTTGGGGAGGGGGGACATCAGCAGGAAACAACTCATTTACTCATTGACACAGCTGCCAGTGGCAAATCCTATCGATCACCCATCGTCATTTACTCCAGTGGTACAAGGTTCGCCCACACAAGCAACAAGAATGAATAAATTATTTTGAACAGGTTTTATTAAACCAACCAAAAAAAAAAAAACCAAAAAACCAACAACACACCTCTAAAAAAACCATACGCTGGCTCTTCTGCCTTCTTCCCTCGAGCCCCCTAACCCTGATTTCTTAACTTTCGGGGTAGCAAGAGAGAGCGACCAAGATGATTTGCAGTTGCCAAGATGCTGTCTATGCAGCGCACACGATAAAGGTGGTTCAGGAAAGTTAGAGAAGGTGGGTGAGGTAATCTCTCTCATTGGGCTAACTTCTGCTGGTGGGAGAGACAAGCTCGGACAGTCAGTGCTTCGTGGTTAGTTTTTAAAAACCTCACACCCCTTGAGCAAGCGCCTGAACTGAAACACTGCAGCTAGCGGGGGAGGCAGAAAGCTGGGGGGAGGCGGGCCATCTAATGCACTTCGCTGCCTTTCCAACGCGCAGGCTTTGCCCGGGGTACTTCCGTGACAGAAGCCAGCCCTAGAGCCGGGGGCTAAAGGAGCTGGGGGGGCACCAATCCCTCCCCACCCCAATGTCGGTCCCACACCCACTCTCCCAGAAGCTGAGCCCATCTGAGCTGGGGCCCGCAGCGCAGTGAGACCCCGTGCAGGGCTCTCCTCACCGCTCGGGCTGCGCCTGGGCGCTCTCCTCGTCGTCCTCCTCCATGGCTCGGCGGCGGCTCCTCTCCCCCGGCTGCGCCGCGACTCCCCAGCAGGAGCCGTTACGCGGCTGCTGCTGCCGCCTACCTGACAAACCACCAGCCGCTGAAGGCAGCGCCAGGAGCTCCAGGCAGCAGCTCCACAGCGCCCTGCTCCTCACCATGGTGGCGCCTGCGCGGCGCCGGCGGCCCGGCTCCCCCTCCCGGGAGCCATCACCTACCCGACCCCCCCGCCGAGCTCAGGGAGCTCGCAGGACCCGCGCCCGCCGCCTCCCTGCGCCGCGGCCATCTTGGTAAAGGCCAAGGCCTCCAGCCCGCCGCTGGCCGTGAGGAGTGCGGCAGCGCCGCCGCTGGACCAGCGGTCAGTGAGATGGGGGAAGGTTTTGTGATGTGTCCGGGCTGCTCTGACATCGCCCGGAGCACCCACCGCCTGCCCCAGGAGCCAGGAGCCCCTGGGCAGGGCAGGCCCTGGGACAAGGCCAGGTTCCATCGAGGGGCCCGTGGGAAGCTGAGTGGGAGGAGGCGCAGCCACAGTCTGCCCCCCCCCCCCTAATGTGAGACCAAGGAAGTGCCCTTGGTGAGGATGAAAGCAGCCTGCCTGGGCTCCAGGCCCGGGGCCCGGAATGGGGTCCAGTCCAGCAGCAAATCACGAAGCTCGGCAAAGCCCGTTGCTGCTGGGGGGTGACAGACATGCAGGCCCCGGGGGAGAGGTGCAGTACACTCGAAAGTCCCCTCATGATACCAAGGCCGGATTAACTCTCCTGTGGGCCCAGGACTAGTAGATTTTGTGGAGCCCCTGGGGGTTTGGAGTGGGAGAGCAGACTCAGGGCTGGGGCAGAGGGTTGGGGTATGGGAAGGGATGCGGCTCTGGGGTGGGGCCAAGGATGAGACAGGGGGTTGGGGTGCAGGTGTGGGGTCTGGGAGGGAGTTTGGGTGCAGGAGGGGGCTCCGGGTTGGGGTAGGGGGTTGGGGTGTGGGGTGCAGGTGCCAGCTGGAACGTGCTTAACTCTGGTGGCTCCTGGGCAGCAGGGCTAAAGCAAGACCCCTGCCTGCCCTGGCTCCGCGCTGCTCTGCTCCCTGAGGTGGCCAGCATGTCCGGCCTCTAGGCAGAGGGGCCAGGCCACTCTGTGAGGTGCATGCTGCCCATGCTCGCAGGTGCTGCCCCCGCAGTTCCCATTGGCTGTGGTACCCGACCAGTGGGAGCTGCGGAGCCAATGGCAGGGGCAGCGTGCAGAGATTCCCTGAAGGCCTGTCGCCTAGGGGCCGCAGAAGCACATCGGCAAGCCAGCGCTCGCGGCTCCAGCTCCGGAGGGGCGCCAAGGCTCGGGAACTGGTGTCCGGCCCACGGCACGGAGACTTGCCATGGGCTGGATAAAAAGAAGCAGTGGGCTGCATCCAGCCTCTGTGCCGCCCCCCCCAGCCTGAGGCCCTGGGCTGCAACCCCTAACGTCCCTGCATTAATTCAGCCCTGCATGATACAGCCTAAGGGATGGCAGAACCCAGGCAGTGTATGGCTCAAACATGACTAGGAACACTAGTATACGCTGGCAGCTGCCTAGTTCATGAGGCTCAGTATTATCTTAGCCAACCTCTGCTGTAGGTGGAGCTATACTCCGTGTACATTACATATACAGAGGCCATTATTTGAAGGCCATAAATAGACAGTTGACATCTATGTCTGCAGTTTTTATTTTCCATGGAGAAACATCTCTTAGGTGAAAGAGCTGACAAAGGGGTTGTTTATTCATCATATTAACATGCAGCTAGATATCTGTGTCCAGTACTGCACATACCATGCAAGTCAACCTGTATAATAGCAACATAAGAATGGCCATACTGGGTCAGACCAATGGTCCATCTAGCCCAGTGGTTCTCAAACTTTTGTACTGGTGAAACTCTTGTCAAACTGTCTGTAATGGGCTATCTTGATTATCACTACAAAAGTTTTTTCTCTTAATTAATTAGCCTCTTAGAGTTGGTAGGACAACTCCCACCTTTTCATGTTCTCTGTATGTGTATATATATCTCCTCACTATATGTTCCATTCTATGCATCCAATGAAGTGGGCTGTAGCCCACGAAAGCTTATGCTCAAATAAATTTGTTAGTCTCTAAGGTGCCACAAGTACTCCTGTTCTTTTTGCGGATACAGACTAACACAGCTGCTACTCTGATTCCTGGAGAAAGGAATTCACAAAGTTAAGTGCCCAATCAAGAAGTATTTAAGGAACAATGCATCTTGGAATGCTCCAATCCACATAAGAAGTCTTCCTGGAGATATTCAAGATACCATGTGGGCAATGGCTTCTGCCTGAAAAAACGGTGAGTCATGCATGGATATGTGACTTGCCCAGATGACTCCAGAACTCCATCTTGGAGCTGGACTTTGCATAGGAGAGAGTCTCCACCCACAAGAGAAAGTCTATTTAAGCCCGTGGGAGATCCCTCCATTTTGTCTTCAGCTGTCTAAAGAAAGAGCCTCTCCACCCCCAAGGATACCTGAAAGGATCTGGAACAAAGGACAGTAACTATAGGGGGTGTGAGTGATTGCTGGATCCAGACTAGCTGGAGACTAGTTTGTAAAAGGAAGCTTACTGGAACTGGTGAGGTTTTTATCTGTATTCAGTTTCTTAGACATAGACTTGCTTGTTCTATTTTATTTTACTTGGTAATTCACTTTGTTCTGTCTGTTACTACTTGGAACCACTTAAATCCTACTTTCTGTATTTAATAAAATCACTTTTTACTTATTAATTAACTCAGAGTATTAATATCGGGGGGGGGGCAAACAGCTGTGCATATCTCTCTATCAGTGTTATAGAGGGCAAACAATTTATGAGTTTATCCTGTATAAGCTTTATACAGGGTAAAACGGATTTATTTGGGGCTTGGACCCCATTGGGAGTTGGACATCTGAGTGTTAAAGACAGGAACACTTCTGCAATTTGCTTTCAGTTAAGCCTACAGCTGTTAGGGGACATGGTTCAGACCCTGGGTCTGGGTTTGCAGCAGGCTAGTGGGCCTGGCTCAAACCAGGCAGGACACTGAAGTCCTAAGCTGCCAGGGCAGGAAAGCAGGGGCAGAAGTAATCTTTGCACATCAGTTAGCAGCCCCAAGGGGGTTTTCTGTGATCCAACCTGTCACACCTGCCACCTATTAATTTCATTATGTGACCCCCAGGTTCTTGTGTTATGTATAGGAAAATGTTGTTTACCTCTTCACACCATTTATGATTTTTATAGACTTCTATCATATCCTCCCTTCATCATCTCTTTTCTAAACTGAATAATCTGTCTTTTTAATCTCTCCTCATATGAACACTGTTCCATCCCCTTAATAATTTTTGATGCCCTTCTCTGTACTTTTTCTAATTCTAATACATCTTTTTGAGATGGGGTGACCAGAACGTCACACAGTATTCAAGGTGAGGGCATACTATCGATTTATGTAGTGGCATGATGATATTTTCTGTTTTATTATCTTTCCCTTTCCTAACGGTTCCTCAGATTGTGGTAGCTTTTTTGCCTACCGATGCACATTGAGCAAATGTTTTCACAGAAATATTCACAATGACTCCAAGATCACTTTCTTGAGTGGTAACAGCTAATTTAAACCCCTACATTTTGTATGTATAGTTGGGATTATGATTTCCAATGTGCATTACTTTGCACTTATGAATATTGAATTTCATCTGCCATTTTGTTGCCCATTCAGCCAGTTTTGTGAGATCCCTTTGTAACTCTTCGCAGTCAGCTTTGGGTTTAACTATCTTGAATAATTTTTGTATTTTTGACTCCCCCACATTCACAAGTCCCAATCAATGAAAACGGAACTTTAAACTTTTCTTTACGGAACTTTTCTATATTTCCTGGAAGTCTGAGTCCCCTGTTTCAAATGGAGCCTCATATGATCTCAGGCCAGCTCAACTGTCCTGATCCTGCAAAGTCTTATGCACATGTTTACACACAGAAATAATCCCACAGAGTTCAATTAAACTAATTCCATGTGTAAAGTTCCACATGTGCTTAAATATTTGTGCAAACTTCTCCCTCTGCTGAGCTTTCAAGGAAGGAGTCTGGCAGACACTTGGATACCTCATGTTACCGCTAGTATGCTCAGTGGACTCCATATCAGTTGGGTATAAGCAGTAACTGTCAGTCCGGGGAAGTCTCCAAATCAGTATATGAGGTGAAGGTCTTGGTTGACACGAGATCTGAGAAAGGGGGTTTTGTTGTCACTTTGCAACCACCTTTTCTGTTACTGCCCAGAATGGGTCTAGATTGTCCCATTGGTAACTGGAAAGACTTGGGAGCTCCTTCTTCCTACAAATAGTCACAAGGACAAAGGAACGGTGAATCTGGGGTCTTCCATGGGGCAGTGTATTTGTTTTATTTTCTCACAATAAACTCTAATTTAATAATTGAAACATGATAAACTTCATTTTCTTTTCATTAAAGAAACATCTCTCTGAGTTCAATATGTGTTAATATTTTTATTGAGTTTATTTATCATTTTGGCTCATTTTATTAATCACAGAGGTTTGGAAGGATTTGCTCCATAGCTGAGTCAATAGCTAGTCCAGACAGTGTTTGAGACCAGCAGTCTTGTGCACAACAACAAGCACCTCTATTATATTTGCAAGATCAGCGCCTCAGTAATTATACTGTTGTGTAATGGCATTACTCCCTTAGAGATATTGAGAGTATTGCTGGTGGTGTAACAGATTATCCAGCCTGAGTACAAATTTCACCTGTAGCTTGCCTAAATCAAGGGTTGACTGTCCCACACAGCAGCCCTTTGATTAGATCTACAAATTACAGTATTAATATCTTGTTTATTTTGTGTAACTGAGTGGTTTAGCATACACTGTGGGTGGGGTACTGATTCCATATCATCTAGGCCAGCAACTATGGTTTTATTTAAAACTAGGGAAAAGGTGTTTGTTTGTTTTTTTTTTTCTTCAATCAAGTTAGCTCAGCTGAGCTATTCTAACTCAATTGAAAACCGTACTTAGTGCCAATGTAGACACATCTTTAGCAGCTATTAAGTTATAGCCCAGAGTCCACTAGCCATAGTGTACTCTAGAAAAAGTTTGCTGGTATAACTATATCCTCCTAATGTAGACACAGTTTATATTTGCAAAATAGTGCTTTTGTCAGCAGAGCTTATACCAGTTCCCCAAGCAAAATAAATGAAACACACTTTTATGACAGTATAACTGTATCTATACCAGGGCTTTTACTTATATAGAAATGTTGCCAA